CCCCTTGTCTCCCTGTTTCCATTGTTTTCTTTTCTTGGAATTTTTCTTGCTCCATTTTCCCCCTCTCTTCTCAAGCTCACTCCTTGTGTCTTTTTTTTTCACATAGACGTTTTTGCCTACCCAAGACCCTAGCTCAGTGGGTACTACACACCTATGAGCTCATCTAGTCTGTTGAAAATACAGACCTGGTTCAAATCCAGATGATGATGGAACCTGATGAGTAAAACCAAGTAATTTCTGCATTGCAGGAATTGGGCCGGTCAGCTCACGGGTAAGGTAGCGGTGGTGGGCTGCGTGTTGTTGGCTGAGCGGAGTGTGCGTGGATTGTCGAGTCCGCGATGTGGTGTGTGTGGTGTGAGTTGAAGGATGCTACTGCCCTGGAGGTGGGCTGGATATCACTACCAGTATGGATCCAGTTTTTATAACACCTCCAAGGGTTGTAGTGGTTACGATACTTCGCTCCTGTACAGGAGGGTGCCGGTTTGAGGCCGTCCGTGTGCAACAGAGCATGATGCTCTAAACACGTTGTCAGTCCCCTGTAAAAGGTTTGGGAGCGGCGATGGCCGTCTTTGGAACCCACTGAGTTTGTCCCGGTCCCTGCATCACTCTGGGCTGTGGACCCGGTGACACAGGTTGTTGTGCTAGCTGCTGGGGCTGCGTGCCCTGAGGCTGCACAGGCTGCGAGACAACAGGTTGCGTGGTGACTGCAACCTGCAACGAACTTGGAGGAAACACTGTTTGTACAAGAACCTGCAAACTACTCTCTGTTGTTACCCCTCCTGACAGCGGCATGCCCAGGAAAACGATAGCAACCGATGAAGGGGCTACATATGGGGATAACCCTGTCACCGGTGGGACAGAAAAAGGAGGATATGGCACGGACCTGGCACCAGGCATTGTTGGTGATGGTGCTGCCTGAGCACGGCCTGCCAAAACGGCTAGGCTCTGTTGAATGTCCTGAAGGATTGTAGTTTGATGTTCCTGCATCTCTATAACGCCTAGCAGGGCCCTCCTCACTACCTTCACATCAGCATCCATATGCGTCAGGTCCATCAATTCTAACTCCTCTATATCAGCCCCTCTCCGCTGCATCCCGGCTCTTCGTCTGATCATATTTTCCTTTTCCGCTTTTCTCTCTCCTAATGCCCGCTGTAGCTGTGCCTCCTGCAAAGCTGCCCACTGAATGGCGACATCCTCTGGAGTCAACACTGCGGCCTGGCTTGCCATAATGCCAGTGGACTGACTCACGGTCTGCGCGACCGTTGACCCGACGGCGCCTGAACTACCAGCTTGGGGAGTCTGTTGCACAAAAGTGACCATGGTTGTAGTGGCCATGACTGTTGTAGCACCGGCCTCGCTAACTAAAGTTCTGCTGGCCTCGGCTGCTCTAGCCCTCCTCTGCTTCTGTTGTCTCTCCCTAAGCTGGCGGAACAGAATCCTATCACCCTCCGGTCCTAGGGATACGTGAGCTCTCGGGCCTCTAGCTGATCGCAAGATCCTGCGGTCGTCCTCTCCGATGTCCTCCTCGTCGCTCATAGGCTACAACACTGTGCACTGTCTACACTAGATCATACTAGATGCCTACCGCAACATAGTGCACAGACCCACTAATTAATGGGTGGCTATTTCAGAACAGATATCATTTGTGGTCAACAGGTAAGTCAGATTCCTACAACTGGAACTATTTTTAGTCTGACTAGTCCGCAAAAAGAAGCACCAGGAACAATAAACAGTTCTAACTAATGTTGTCTGTCAGATGTCAATGGCAGTACATCTAACTAATCAAAAACATAAAAATAAAATCAGTTGTGTGGATAGGACAACATGGAATTTTCTCGAACTTATCACCTGGAATCAACCCCTCCCTTAGTTCCCCTGAGTATCTTTTGACGTCAGAGTCCCTGAGCGATCTGGAGAGCGCAGCGTGTCTAAAGGTGTGTGTGTCCGGCCCACCCCTGTGCCCCGAGTATCCTTTGAGCCGGCCAGCCTTGCACGTATATTTATCCTCGGCGAGCCGCGAGCCTTCCAACCATTGGCTGATCCAGGGGCAATTTAACGTCCGCCCCCAAGTGACCCTAGGAATTATTTTACGTCGCAGCCGGACGACGATCACAGCCAATGGTTCCCCTTCCCGTGTTTATTTATAGACGCCGGGTGCTCGTCTTTCGTATAGGGCTGGCCTGCCCAGTAGTTCCCATCTAACAGCGCAGCAAGCCGAACAAAGGGCAAGCAGCTAGGCATGCGTGCTCTATTCCCTGTGGGTTGGCATGGCGACCGTGACCCAAGGCTTCGTCCAGGGCCCTTCAGAAAGCTTCGCCCATCTCCACCCAGATGCTCCACGTGAACATTGCCGGCTCTCAAGGTTGAGCGCACTCGACACCTCACGATGAGAGGACTTTCAAGAAGGAACACAACCTCACGGTAAGAAGTGTCGAAGAGGGTAGATAAGGTTAAGAGCAACGTACCTCAAATAGTTGCCCCCAACCACAGAGATAATCTCAATAGATGACCAGATGGCGATTGCGATGACCAGTCACTGCATCGGCACAACCAGCATTATCTCGCCGTTCCACCTCAGCATCAATCGCACATAGATAGTTCTCATCACACTGTCCAGACCACATTCACCTCACGTAGCCTTCTTGGCGATCCCCTCACCTCTTAGGTCGCCAACACACTCGTCTCCACCCTCCTCACTACACACCACTTACGGCCAAACTCGCACAGCAGACCGCATGTATGTACCGCATAAGGCAGAAGACAAGCGCCAGATGAGCGCAATCGTACCACAACTCCGATACCAAATTGCAAGGAAGATGAGCAATAGCGAACTTCAGCAATCAAACAACATCATATATATGAGTCCAGATAGTCTTGACCTCGAACCAACAGCAACATTGCATCACGAGAATAACCAAATAAGAACACACCAAGAGTTCATAATTGATGATGCTGAAATAGTCCCATCATCATCAACGACGAACTAGAGTTGATATCCTATCTGGCGCTCGACGCCCAGACTACAGGTGGCAGATCCTATCTAGCCTATACTACGAAGCCGAAAGATGACATCAACAACATTCCCGAAGTACGAGCATATGGCGACCAATGTCGCACGCTTCCAGCACCAGGTATGTCTCGCGCTACACTCACAACCTCGTTCCCCAACTCACAGATGCCATTAGCACCCAAGGACCACCCTGCGCCTCATCCAGCTTACAGCAGCGCAACTCGGCTATGGTTGCGTGCTCCTTCCCTGCTCGCCCGTGAGAGCGTAGGTGCCAGCCAGCAAATAGCGCAGCAGCAGCGCTTGCGCAGCATGCATCCAGCACCCGAATGCCGAATGAGGAGGCAGACCCTTTCCTATATCGAATTGGCCTGCCTGCGTCCAGTCCCAGGAAACTTTCAGTAGGCCCCGGTAGCCTGAGGCCCAGCACGACGTGAACAGGCCTTGGGCCTGAGGTGGTTGCATGTGCCCAACTGCCTTCGGCCTGTGTTCGGCCCGGTACCCGTATCCAGCCCAGGGCCTGCTTCTCATACATTCACACAGGCGGCCCAGGGCCTGGGTTCACTCAACCAACTGGTGCTGCGCAACTGCCTGAATTTCCCTGAGTTGCGTGGTGGCGAGAAAAGGGCCCTGAGGGCCTCGTCGAGCCTGCCTTCACTTAGGGCGGCCGACGGGCTGCAAAATGGGGCCTTATGGGGCTCATAGAGGCACTGGCCTCGCAATAGTGGACAACACTATTATACAAGATACACACTTGCAGGCTCTTTTTTTTTTTTTTTTTTCACAGCCCAGGTTCTTGTGGAATCCGGACTCTGGACACAAGGGGTTACTGCCACAGCTATTGGCTGTCCTGACACTCCCTTATACTCTATAAGGCCATCTCCCTAGCCATCCTCTCAGTCCTAGCACACCGGACTCCAAGTACTGCCTCAATGCCAACAACACAGATGTGATGAACGCATTGAAACTCGGCGTGGCCAAGTATATTGCCAAGAACAACATGCAACAATGAATCTCTAAATGCTGACAGTCTCTCTCGGCTGAGCAGATAGTGCACAACAATTTTTTCAAGATGCCAATGGAATCTATCTACGTCATAGTATCATGCACCCACTCAAGCTGCCTCACGTGCTGCTAATACATGTTAACGGTAGCTACAACAACAATTTGCTACAGTACCTGTCGATAAAAAATCGCACAACATGGCAATCTCATGCAAGCGCGGGTACATATATAAGTTATACCAACATTTTGATAGTCCTAGCTACGAACTGACATCGGAGCTTGGGGCCAACATCCTCGAACACCATGCGCTTTTCAATCGATGATGGGGCTATCAACATACGAACACTCTGCCCTATCTCTACTTTGCACTTAAAGCACATAAATCCACGCCCAGTGTTCGCCCAGTTCTTCTTGTTACTCAACAAAACGACCTTTCTTGGTCTTCACCTCGTACATGCCTTGCCAACCTTTGATTTCGGATCTGGATAACAGGCCCCCTCATAAGTCTCTTGTGAGTATAACAAAAACCTTCTGCTCACCTAGCTACACTCTCCAAGGCGTAATCAAGTCGCTGCGCAGTAAGGATAATGAGCTTTATCAAGAAGTAGGAGTACGCCGTTATTGGATCGTGCAAAGTGTTGAGGAAATCATCTTGGATCACAAGTAGAACGCATAATCCCTAGCG